TGCACCAAGATTGAAAAGCCTCTATGCGGTTTAGGGCTTAGGGTCCCCATCGCTTTATCATGGGAACTCTTTCCCTGCGACTGTACAATATTGGGTTCATCGATGAAGTGATTGCTTTAAACGCGGGCAGGTCCTTTTTCGAGTCATGCAAGGGCAGTATAATTTCAGTGGTTATATGCCAGCTCTACCAGGACGATCTAGACAGTCGACATGTAGGGTAGTGGACGTTCGCTTGTTGCAACAAGAGGTGACTTCGCGCATGAATGATATAGGGGCAGGGAGGTATTCATATGCTTACATATACGTGTAGGTACCAGCGCTTATATTATGCCACCAAGTATTATAGCACTGTCATTATTGTTACCATGCTTTGCTTATTTGCTCTACGGTTATCCCTACTACTGACTATCAGTACTTGTACGACTACTCACTACTCCTACTCCAAGACCTACTACTTTTTGTGCAGCTCCTCCTCCTATTGGTACTGCTACGCTCCTACTCCTACTACTCCGACTGCTACTGCTATTGCTACTATTACTACGGCTTGGCAAGCAATCAGTACGCATCTCAACGTCAACTCAGGAGCTGCACCCGCACATGATGTGCCTGGGTCATTGTTTGGCGAGTTTTTCGGATTGCGCACTTCAGAGTTTACGCGGGAAATTCCCCGAAAATGTAATTCGATTTCTGTCAGTTTAATGTGTTCAGCAGGACTTCAAGGGAGATAGAGTAGGGAGCAATGATTATGGCCCCATAGCGAGTGCTTTTTGTGTAGGACCCCTTTGAGTGTCCGTTTCGTCAGAGTTTCAGGTGAGCTTGCTGCATCCATTCATGTCGTCAGCCACCGACAACATAGGTGACATGTTGCATAACCCCTGAAGCACCACCCTCAACTAAACATCCTTAAGCCCTAACACTGCTTCTTCCTGAAACTCTCAAGAATTTCGGCGGGGCTCCCCATAATGATGCTTATACGATTCCTTGCCATAGTCATTCCCCCTCTAAGCACGAGTAAGAGAAGGTACGGAGCGCTCATGTCGTTTCTGGATTCCCTTTACCGGGCGAGCTGGGATGTGGTACCATCCGTCGTGCCGCTTGGCTGCATTACAAAAAGAGATTGGTTGCAGGCTTCTCCGGGTTCTTGCAGGCGAGCGTAGAGCTCATAGAATGCTGTGCGCATGAATTTAGGGGGGCTTTCAGGAGTCTCTGATAGGCATGCTTCCAGAGGGATGGCCACCAAACAGACAACTTTGTGATACCACTTGGCTAGACTACAGCCCTTCAAGAAGCAGGTGCAAAATGAAGCTTCAGGTCAAGCACAGATGTTTGGTAGGAATGCGACTGCGCAGATCCTGGAAACTGGAAAGACCCCCTGCAATCCCCCACAGCTTGGCGAGGTCTGCCAAGGTGGTCGCACTAGCGTTGTTGCTTCCGGCGACTTGTTTTCAACAGAAGTTTGGAGATGTAGCCTTGAGTCGGCTACTTGAAGCAAGGACAATGAATCTTTCTGGGTTTGGGGGGGGTATTGTGGTTCTGTGGTCCTACCAATCAACCTTCAGGGAGTTGTGCCCGGGAGCTTGGGGTGGCAAGTGGAGTCGCTGCTCCCCTCAAGTATTAAAAGTTATACAAGAGATCCTACAGAAAAATCATATTTCTTTTCATTTGGGACTTATACCCGGCAAGTTCACATGTGTTTTCCGAAGTTGCATGTGGGGATTCAGGCTTGTGAATCAAATCATTTTAATGAGGGATCCTGACAACTGTCGCTCCCCTTTGACAATAAAACAGTACTGTAGAAGGCTGACTGATGACCAATATATTATTCCCTCACAACCCGCATATGATTTCCGTACGGCATGCCCCAAGGCTGTATGATCAGAGTTGAGGCACCCTGCAGCATGCACTTTTTTATGCACTGCAGCTTGATGCTAGATATACGGTTGATGTTCACGAATTGCATGACCCTGGCGAAATAGAGGCCGGAAATTACCGAAATGCATGTATGTACTAGATAATACTTAGTAACTCGGAGGCTTCAACCGCACTGGTCACGCCTAATGTTAACAACCAACGATTAGAGCTAGTTAGTTCTGGCTGAGGTTGCTCCGTAGCTCCCGCTGGTTAGCATAGTAGTCGAGGTATTGTCCTGGACAAAATTGTCGTTTCCGTTTTCTTTTTCATTCCTTCATTCCACGATCAGCCACCAACAAAAATAGGCTCCTATCCTGAAGAGCACCTTGGGCTACATCCTTGGAAGCAATGACTTGACTTTGACGATCAAACGTCATGGCTGGGCGTATTCTCACCCAGCTTTTGGTTTCCAGTCTATTCACTACAAGTCCTTCTATACTGCAATAAATGCGTTCCTCATCGGGCTTTCAAATCCATACTACAACCTAATCTGGGTGTGCACGGCTCAGGTTGCCTTCGTTGCATTCCCAGTGATTGTCGTTGAGCGTGTCGTGGAGATCACCGTGATCTTGTGGGCACCTCGTCTCAAACAAGGATATCAACCGTTCATAGAATGACCGCGCTCACACTACAATAGCCAGAGCACTGATTGCCCTGCAACCTACACCCGTCATTTCGCCCCTCATGCAAGCTGATTCTTTCGTTGAATGAATTTTGGAGCGAGTGGTCAGAAGCCACAATCATTGGTGTACAGGCAGTTTTTGTATGGATGTATGGGGAGCCTTCGAATTGTGCACAGTAACACTTGCCAAGCTTCGGGCTTCTTAGAGGGCTCCCTAGCCCTAGTAAGGATCCCGAACTGCATGTCCATGTGCAATCCCCAAATAGCTGTAAGACACAAGGGTCCCCAGTACCAGTGGTGCGTTTTCAGTAAGCACGCGAAAGAACACGCCAGGTGAGCAGCATTTTTTTGGGGATAGTACAGTCCCCAATCTAGACTAAAGCCTGGTATTTGTTGCTTGGCTCAACCAAAAAACCTAAAGCCCGGATCCAAAAGAACTCCTCAGGTGTTTGCGGAAGTGTCCTTTTTCCTGTGGCTGTGGCGGCTCCGGTTTCGCCTCGACATGGTGAGGTCATTTGAGCTGCAAGTATGTCAGCTTGGGAGATTGAACCAGCGGTAAACAAGCCGCATGATACAGGGTGCCCACCAACTGGTTTTGGGCTCAGGGGCGATGGCTCTTGGATTCACAGTTTTCAACTGGAGCGTGGTGCTCAGGGCGAAACGATTCGTAACAGCAATGTTCGTAAACCTCACCCCTACAGTAAGGACCGTAGAAGAGTCTGAGTCATGGGAAATACGGAACTCAGGTCCATTACTTTATTTAGGAAATATTGACTGTAGCTCATGTGATAATCATAGGATCCTTATATGAGGGTTGGGGCTGCAGTAGCTAAAGCTCCCGTTACCCATGGAAGGAAGAGCGCCGTTCTTTGTGATACCATTAATGATTTGCGAGGGCGCCCTCATATGTCTCAATATGAGCCATACTCTAGACTCCTCAAAACAGGTTGATTAGGGGACTTTTGCAGGGTTATTGAGGGGGATACTAGGAGTTAAGAGTATGTCTCATATAGTCCTTGCTATAGGTACCCGATAATAATGTCAACTTCGGATTACAAAAGGGGGTCGTATTAGAGCTTCAGCCCGAACGGAATAATAAAAAGGGGTCGTCTTAGAGCGAAATCCGAGCTGAACGGATTAATCACAAC